GGTCAGTAGGGGGCCAAACGAGGCTGACAAACTTTAAACCACATGTTGCAGTGACTCAGAATTTTACAATGACAGTTGAAAGCCTCCCTTGGGGGGTCCCATCTGACAGTACTCAATGATGTCGCACTGCTAAACTTTCCAATCTTCTGTGAAAACTTGAATGTGTCAGATTATTTTTAACATAATGGTGATGAATGCTGGTTGGAGGCCCCCTCCCAATGTTTCCTGTCTCTCTTCGGCTGTCCTTCAAAATAAAGGCAAAAGGCCCCAAAAAACACTGTTTGACTTTTACTAGAATTATTTCTAAGTTTTAAATTCGGGTTCTGTGTCAACCCTGCTCCTTCCTCAGGCACATGGTGACATTATGCCTGAGGGAGAAGCCAGCAAGTTATTTTTAAAAAAGCATCACTATAATTAAATAGTCAGGATTAGTTTTTGGCTGCAGGATTTCATTATTCCGATTCTGATGAGTACTTTGTGTGGGAAACTGGTATCAGAGATCAGAGCTCACCAGAGTGTCAGCTTTGTGTATAAAGTCGACTTTAATAAATCCACACATTCACTGTGGCTTCATTCATAAAATATTTAAATCAGGAGAGACTTCAGGAAGAGTTTACAAATATTTATTTAATGGTTTAGGAAAATAAATATGTAACATCTTTGATTAGACTCCGCCATGATGACTTCAAGAACTCAGAGGGGAAGCGAGGCCGACAGCAGGATAGGATAGACTCCCCCTAAGGAGTCTAGACCCTGGTGGTGATAGAAGAAGTCAGGATGTGATGAGGAGTGGGTTTCTGAGTCTGGATCTGAACCCTGCTGAGCTGGACTGGAGGTGATCGGGGCGGAGGGGGTCGCAGCGATCGCACTGAAATGACAAACTGACTTCAGAAGAGAGAGGACCGGTTTGAAAATCTGACAGCAGCAGGGTGATTGGTGGAGAGAGGTCGTGGGAGATCTTGGTTTGGACCCAGGAAACATGAGACCAGGGCCGTATCCGAATTGTCACAGTTCAGTATGCATTTTTGGGTCCACCTCAGTATACTGAACATTTCAGTATGGATACTAACTTCCGGGTTTCATGCAGCATAGTCGGATGCGTGCTTTCAGGAAATTAATTGTATTTAACCCACAATGCTGTGCGAAATTAAACGTAAATCGTCACGTTACGTCCGCCTCCAAATCAAAACAAACAGCATGGATTAATTCAATCAATTTTTAATCTAGAGTTAAAGTCCTGACTGAAATCACTACTTTTAATTAACAACAAAAAATAAAACAAATACCTGCATTATTATAAAACCTTTCCCCCTCTATTTAAATAATGATTTCACTATTTAAAATGATTTCACTTTTAAATGTGTCTTTATTGGTTATTTTATATTCTGTATATTACTGTCTTTCATTTGTACTTTCCTTTATGTACTGTATGTGATTTAGTTATTTAATCTTTTACTTGATTTACATTGTATATTGTTTTTTGTTTACCTGACTGTATATGAGCATTACTCTTCTTGAATAAAGCTAAACAAAAAACAAAATAAAAACAAAAAAACGGGTGAATGCGGGTTCGGGAAACGTAAATGACGTCACTTCCTTACTGAATGAATCAGAAGAAGTAGGAACAAATATCTGCCTACTGTGTGTGCATACTGAATAGTAGGTACTAACAGTATACAGCACGGATAGTACGTACTGCATACTGAAAGATTCAGTATGTACTTGACAATTCGGATACGACCTGTGTGTGCCCTGGGCTGCATACTTTACGTTTACTTTCGCACAGCATTGTGGGTGGTAAAACACAATTCATTTCCTGAAAGCACGCATCCGATCGATACTGCATAAAACCCGGAAGTTAGTATCCATACTGAAATGTTCAGTATACTGAGGTGGACACAAAAAATGACCACTGAATGACCACGAAAGTTCAGTATACTGAAACTCCATACTGAATAGTACGTACTGCTTACTGAACTGTGACTATTCAGAAAGGGCCCCGGACCATGCAAGTCCTTAAAAAGAGCTGATAGATAATCTGTGCAGATGTGTTTTGTTCCTTCTTATTAACAGTCTGCCCTCCAGATGGCGCTTTGGATCAAGGAAGAAAAACACAAATCATCATGTTGCATGCATCTGGTTTAAGGATTTAGATATCTTCAAATACTTTTGACATTTGCGATAATAGAGTTCCTAATAGAGTGGATGCATAATGCTCTGCCGTATTCCTGTCACATTGGTGGTTTTAGTCCCTTTTCAAAAATAACCCTGCAGCCCGTATAGGTCCCTGTGGTACCAGAAATTGAATGCATGCAGGAGTCCCCGGGACAACAAAACAGGAAAAACAAACCTTTATATCAACAAGGATTCAATCATTTATGTGATCAGGGACAGGAAATAACAAGGGATCATTTGTCGGAGAAAGGAAATGATCCTGCTCCTGTGAGGATGAGAAACAGCATTCATCTCAGAGATCCTGTACATTCATCGAGATTAATAGTTACTGCAAATGATTGAATCACCTCTGGATGTTTGAGAGGCCACATGCAGGGAGTCAAATCTGAATCTGAATCTTTCTAGTGAATTGTTTTTGTGCTGCTGAGTGCGTGGGAGTGGATTCCCCCTTTTAGAACAAACACAGTTATCATTACAGAAAACAGGTTTTTATTTCAGACTGTGAGCGTGTTAGACGACAAAAAAATAATAACTTTATTTATATAACACCTTTTAAAAACACAGGTTTACAAAGTGCTTTGACAAACAGCAAAAACAAGAACAAAGCAAACTAAACCAAACACAGAAGAACAGAAACAACAGCAACAACAAACAAATGCAACAGATTCAACAGAAAAGAACCCAAAGTGCACGATACCAACAGACATATATAACCCGACCATTCAAAGAACCATCAGAAGAACCATCAGAAGAACCATCAGAAGAACCCAGGAAACAAGAACCCAACAACACGAGCTGAGACCAAGAGGACCAAAGATTTAAAAAGATGTAAGAAACTAAAAGAGATAAAAACAAATAAAAAGATAACAGCAATAAGAAGGTAAGAGCAGGAAAAGAAATAGAAACAAGTGATTAAAGGATAAAAAAACAATAATATTAATAATAATAAAAAGTATATATTCATATAAAAACATAAAAAGATAAATAAAATGACCAAGTTAAAACATAAGGAGTTAAGATAAGAGCATAAATAAAAGGACAGTAAGAAGTAAAAGAAGATACTAAGAGTAAAACCAGTAAGAAACATTAAGAAGAGGACATCACATAAAAGCAAGTCTGTAAAAGTATGTTTTAAGAAGGGATTTAAAAGAATTGAGGGAATCTGTGAGTCTCACCTCCTCAGGGAGGTAATCACAGAAAACCTCAAAACAGAAACTAATTAAAGAACTACTACTTACACTTTTTAAGATTCTGGGTCCTGACAGACATTAATAACTCATGTGCTCTGAAAAAGGAACAAAGAAAACCTGTCAAACCTATGACACCGCTAACGATACAGCCTCACGCTACGTCTCAGTCTGTTCTGAATAATATCTGCAGGGTTGTACTCTCTCGGCCTCTCGGAGTGTCGCGTTCCCACCTCTGGAACTCCCTCCCACCACAAATCTGTAACATCGACTCTCTCTCCATTTTCAAATCTCATCTCAAAACACATCTTTTTAAACTGGCATATTCAGTCTGATCATTCTCCGCCCGGTCTCATGACTCCTTCACATCCTGTACATTTGTGTTCACAGATCACAGAAAATGTTTTCGTAGAACAGTTCAGGCTGGCACTGACATGATAGCTATGAAATATAGAGCAAATTGAGCAGTCTGTAGTACTTATTCCTTGCAGTAGGAGGCGCTATGGTTAAAGTTGAGGTCCCTAACCCTAACCCTAAACTATTGTTATGTCAGTGTGTTCAGAGGCCAACCCTGATTGTGTAATTTGAGGCAGAACAGACAACGTATATGAGAGTTACAGCCACTTCCTGTTTAACGGCGAATGATGCATCCGTATGGCGAGAGCGTTGGACGTAGGTGTTTGAGCTTGAAAGTGCTGTATGGCCAAGGTGTTTGCATGATCCCCACCAATGGCTAATGCTAACTGAGAAGCAGTAACTTCCTGTTGTCAACAGGTGGCGCTGTGACTATGCAAAAAATGTCAAACATGGATGTGTTCAGGGCAGGCCCTGTATCATGTATGAGAAATTATAATATGATTGAACACTGCATGGCAGAGATATAAGCATTTATTTTTTTGGCAAGTTGCCAAAATGCATTTCAAACTTTGAACGCACGCCCTTTGACGAAATGAAGTGCAGAGCACAACGGGATGTGTTGAACATGTCTTGAACACACTTGACATAGAGTTTGTGTCGAACGGATGAATGCTTTCGGACTAGCTTTATTTTTCGCTTCTGCTAGTCTTTAATTTTAATATATTTATGTATTTCAGTTTTACTTAAACTGTATTTCTGTTTCATTTTCTTTCTTCAAAAACAGCATTTCATCCATACTTCAACACAATATGCACAGAAAAATATATAAAGTTATACTTGTCTTATATTACATGCAAAAGTTCTCAAAACTACAAAATAAACGTTTCTGTGTGTTATTATTCTTTTCACGAATATAAAATAATTCGGTTCTGCTACTTCGTATCGATTCGTATCAATGCAAAACAGTTTTCCAGTTTATCCTCGCTTAGCATTATGCCAACAAATAACATGGGAAATTCCATAGAGAAACGGCGAAGCTAGCGGAGTTAGCGCTACACTTTTTACATGAATATAAGTACAAAATATGAATACAAACAGTCTTCATGAAGCCACGGTTACTTTAAGAGATATGCAGGAGCTTTACAAAACTAGCAAAAGAGCATGGGCTAGGGACAAGCCATGACAGACATATATGAACGTGGCGATGAGCAAAGCTAGCGCTCATGAGCATCATAGCTAAAGTACCAGAAAACCTTCAAAACAAATTTAAAACACATCCTGACACAAACTAAAGGATGGCGTTACCTTCCACATGCTATAGAAGAATATGTAGACCACATGTATGTGATTTGTGACATTTACTCACCTGTAAATAACAGGGAAATAATAGCAACAGGTGTGTTTCCTTTCCTGCTTCTGCTACCGAGCACACTAAACTGTCTCACTTGGAGGTTACGCCTCCTTGTGGAACAAATTGGAACCACACTCTAAATTAAAATATTTCAATCATGGATAGTCACCACAAGATGGCAGCATTGCCTTAATTTTAGACGGGCTCTGTAGCCCATCATGCATGAGACATTTTAAACTACCTTGACTTGAGAACGTTATTCACCCCTCTTCCCGATATGATAGCATGTCATGTTGTACCAATGGATGCAGTATTTCGTGCAGTATTTCGTGCAGTTTCATTAGATACCTGTATATCCCCTCTAGCTCGCGATGCGTCTGGAAAATAGTAACATTTATGTCAGCTGAGGGCACACTAACATTAGACAACAAGTTAACTGTTAGCAATAGCTAGCTAACAAAATGACTGCTAGCTAACTGGTAAACCGTTAGCGCGAGCTATTCTGTGAAATTGCTTGGTTGACATAACGGTTTTATGAGTTTAGCTAGTTAGCCGTTAGTTAGCAAGAGTTACAGCCACTTCCTGTTTATGGCAATGTGATTTGTGGACTTCCTGTTGGATTTTGAGCATGAGTGCAAGAGGGTTTATTGTAGGTGTCATCAAGATGGATATGCATAGTAACATTCAGAACAATAGGTCCAACGTGCTGCGGGGGCTGAATGTTTGAAATATTGTCGGGGGCGCCACTGAGCCATTAAGCCACGCCCACTCACTTAAATGGTATCAAATGTTTGACGTTGCTACCAGGATTATATGTTTCGGGACTGAACGACTATGTTAGGCCCGTGAAAAAACTGCTTCCTGTTCGATGTCGACAGCGCGTCCGTATGGCAACAGCGTTGGACGTAGGCGTTTGAGCTTGAAAGTCTTGTATGGCCACGGTGTTAGCATGGTCCACACCAATTTTGAGGGGGAATTGAGCTACTGTGTAGCAATGGCTAATGCTAATTGAGTAGAAATAACTTCCTGTTGTCAACAGGGGGCGCTGTGACTTATTTGAAAATTTCAAACATGGATGTGTTCAGGGCGGGTCCCGTATCATGAGATATAAGCATTTACTTTTTTGGCAAGATGCCAAAACGCACGCCACGGCCACGCCTTTTGACAAAATAACGTGCAGCGCACAACAAGATATGTTGAGCCTGTCTAGAACGCACTGACACTGAGATTGCACCGATCGGATGGGCGCCCTCGGCCAAGTTCGTTCAAATAGGAAGGCTGAAATCACGATTTTGGGCCATTATTGTGAAGTTCAACTTTAATTTATGGACTTCCTGTTGGGTCTTTTGAAACACTGTAAGAGGATTTTTTGTCCATCCTGACAAGCTTAATATGCGTAACGATTTTCTGTACGACTATGTTAAGCCCGTGAAAAAACGACTTCCTGTTTGATGGCAAACAACTTGTCCGTAAGGGAACAGCTTTCCACGCAGGACTTTGTGCTTGTAAATGTTGTATGTTCAAAGTCTTTGGATGGTCAACAGTGATTTTGAGGGCGATACAAGCAACTGTGTAGCAATGACTAGTGCAAAGGAAACAGTGCTCGGACGGAGTGACCTCTTGTTGTCAACAGGTGGCGCTGTGACTAATTAAAAAAATTCAATCATGAATGTGTTCAGGGCAGGCTCTTTGTCATGCATGAATTTTTTGGTGATGATTGAACACTGCATAGTAGAGTTATAAGCATTTACTGTTATTGGCACGATGCAAAAACCGATATCAAACTTGGAAATCACGCCACGAGCGCGCCTTATTTCGAAACCTCTTTTATTCTTCAACTTGTCTACTTTCATTTGACACCAAACTTGAATTGATCAGATAAACGCTCTCAGGCGGATGCTTTCAAACAGGTACCCTGTAAACGGTGAAAATACAGACTTTTTAGACTTTTTTCATCACTGAACGTATTTGGATAAGGCTTAAATTGTAAATAATATTCAGGTTTTTTAGATTGAGTGTTAGATATGATGCAAACTGTTAAAGACATGTTTGCTTCTGTTTCTTTCTATAATTAGATTGTTTTGTCTCACTAAGTTTCTAAGTCTTATGATGTGTTTTTTAACGTTTTCATACATTCAACATCCGTCTGCATCATTTTTCACAAACAGTGAAAATGTTTGGAGTATTTTACAGTAAGAGAAGTTCTGAATAACTAAAGCTGCACTCCACAGTGTTTGACTTTACTTTTTATAACCTGTTAACTCTTCCTCATTTTAACATTCAAAAAGTTTGACCATACATTGATTTTCAAACTAAATGAAAATTGTTTGTAAATTTCTCCTCCAGATGCTCCAAAGCTTCCCTCTGTGTCAGTGAGTCCCTCTGCTGAGATAGTGGAGGGCAGTTCAGTGACTCTGACCTGTAGCTGTGACTTTTGATAACATGGAGGCAAAACTTTATTCTGCTCTCCGCCAGCAAAGACTAAAGCAACACAGTTCTGTTTGTTCACCTTCAAAATAAAAGCACTAGATGTCATACTGTTTACAAAAGAAACTGAAATTCACAGAGCAGAGAAATAAACATTTAATGGATCCAGTGTGGACAAGAAGTGTTCAATGCTTCGTCATGCGACATCATATCTAACATCTGATGCTGTGAGGAGCATCGATGGGAGCTGGAAAACAACACTCCTGAATGTATTACACACCACCACCCAAAAGGGGGCAGCAGAGGGATACGTCCCTAAAACTGAGACACAAAGAGAGAGTCATCAGTAGTTTTGTCTTAGTGAGAATAGATTGTTTGAATTGATCCACTTGTTTTAATGTGCTTCATGTTCTTATACTCAGTGTTTTTATGAGATGTCTTGACTGTGATTGTAGCTGCTGGAACAGAGTCACTTAAAGGAATCATTAATTATCTATATATTGAAACAGGCTCATTCGTATCCCCTTTTCTGTTCATGTGATATGTCTCTAATATTATTTCAGTTTTTTCATCTTGACAATTCAAACATTTTAATGTTGAGGAGAAATTAAAACAGATGTTTTCTCCTCCAGATGCTCCAAAGCTTCCCTCTGTGTCAGTGAGTCCCTCTGCTGAGATAGTGGAGGGCAGTTCAGTGACTCTGACCTGTAGCAGTGATGCTAACCCAGCAGCTAATTACACCTGGTTCAAGGAGGATGAAGACTCACCAACAGCTTCAGGACAGATCTTCACCATCTCTAACTTCAGTGCTGATCACAGTGGGAGATATTACTGTGAAGCTCAGAACACAAGAGGACGTCATAACTCCACCTTACATCTGCTTGTTGTGACAGGTAAGTTATTTAAATTCACCTACACACACACACACACACACACACACACACACACACACACACACACACACACACACACACACACACACACTGTTTACTGCACCAGACCAGATTCACATTCTAATAGATAGAAACTAATAATGCGATAAAAAAAGGGAAACTTCAGAGAGGAACCTCCATCCT